GCAGCCCACGCCTCGGGGGCGGCAGCGTCGGCGGTGGCGGTGGCGGCGGCCGCGGCGGCCGCGGCTGGTCGACGTCGTCCGACGCGTCGCCGCGCCCGGAGCCGACCGTCGTGGACTCGGATTGCGTGGCGGCCACCTGCCACCGCCAGGTGGGGCTCGTGATGCAGAGGGGGAAGAGCCTGCGGGTGGGGTGCCGGTTCGCGCTCCGCGTCGCCGAGACGCTGGAGGACGAGCGGGCCATCGAGAAGGAGCGGGCCGAGGGCGGCGTGCAGTGGTCGCGGTTCGAGATGCCGGCCGACGATGAGCTGGACCTGGACTTGGGGGCGTACCCGGGTCTGTTGGTGGGAGCTTCGAGGCCGCGGGGGCAGGAGGAGCAGCGGAGCGCGACAGGGGAAGCCGGTGGTGGGGACAACGGCGTTTTTTTGCCGGGCATAGCGGCGGCTCCGCCCGCGGCGGCTGGAGCGGAGAAGGCCGCATCATCGTCAGGGGATGGAAACGGAGATGGCGGCGGTGATGGTAGTGAGTGCGATGCGTCCAGTCTCTTCGTGGCGCTCCAAGGATGGGCGAAGCACGACGTCGACGATCCGGAGGTAAGGTTTCAGCCAAGGGGTGCCGTCATCGCCGATGCCAGCAGGGAGGGTGAAGGCGGCGATGGGGCGGCGGCGGATCCGGGGGGGAGACCTGCTTGCGCGGCGTCGGCAGATGACAGCCTTGACATCGCCGCCGCTGCTGTGGCGGCGGCAGATGCGGCGGCGGCGGCGGAGAGGGTGATGAAGGCGGCGGGGCCTCTGCCCGTGATGGACGACGAGGTTGTCCAGGCGCTCAAGCTGCAGCAGGACAAACTACGGGGTAATACCGAGGGGTGCTTGAAGAGGATCAACCCGATCCGGGCCATTGTGGATCCGATGGTTGGAGAGTCCTCAAGCTTCGTGTGAGTGTATAACAACTTATGCTTGCGCTAACGCCGGTCTGTCGTAGATACACGGCCTTCCCTGGTCGATTTTTAGAAAGTATACATACAATTTTGTTTCTGGGTTTACTCAGCATTTTGATTTCGTTGTTCTCTGTTGAAGTCGACCGCATCTGGAACGTTCTGGGACGTACTCTTGTCAGGCACCAACCCAAAATGCTGAGCTCTGTGGCTTGTGGTGTGTGTCCCCTAGGCTGTCTCTTTCAAAATCCGGCTGTGTGCGTAGGTCGGGTATAGTCGGGTGTAGTGTGACGGCAGTGCAGTGCGGTGCATTTCAGAGCACTCGGCCGTGCTTCTGAGACTAGTCGGTGTTGCCAGCTGGATGGAATGTGGCTTTGCTGTACAACTCACCAATTACGCTGAACGGAATGTTTTGATGCATCCCATTTACAATGGTTTGCGACACGCAGCTTCTACCACATTATGGTATGACCACGACTCCGCCCCTCTGAAAGGTAGAGCCTTTGAACCGGGGCCGCCACAAGGGAAAAGCTCTCTGCAAGTACATGTCTTATATAGCGCCGGTTGGAATCGCGGCGGTGCTTTGTCACTCGCTATTGATCAATTCATTTGATTGGTGGCGGCGTGCCTACCACGTGTGCTTGCGTGCACGCCTGCAGCGTCAAGAACGATCAGTTGTACACGAGGTACTGCCGGGTTCAGATGTGGAAGCGGCTGTACAACAAGCTGCACTTCGGCGTCGCAGACCGGCCCCTTAACTTCAACAAGGTGTGTGTGTCTCGTGTCTGCGTGTTTGCGGGGGGCAGGGGGGCCTGCGTAAAGGATAAAACTCAACTACTAATATAGCGGTGCGTGGGTACAGAAATGTGTTCCTAGACACAACGCTTCTTTTTTTTTTCTCGTAGCTGGTTCTGCTACTAGTGCGTGGGCGCACGGGAAAGTGAGGACGCTCCCTCTTGTGGGCTTCGCGGCCAGCCGTATCCAACAGTGGAGGCAGGAACAAGCAAGTAATATGCCCCCCCCGTCCGCCCGCTGCCCGGCCCACCCACACAAAGATCGATGTGGCAGACTGCGATAGCTCCATCCCAGCATCTTGGCGGCGCGATGTTGACGGTCGGCAGAGTAAGGAGGAATACGAGGCCGAGCGCAGGGCCGCGGTGGAGCAGGCGAACAAGGAAGATGCGGTGAGTGTTTTTTTTATTTTTTGCCGAACCGCAGTTTGGTTGGTATGATATGTATGAGCGTGTTGATGAAATGGGTATGTGTTGGGGTTGTTTTTGAGTGTAGAAGGCGATCGGCACACAAGCACCGAAAGTTCATGTAGAGGCGTGGTATCAGGGTTTATTGGGTGCAGAGAGGTGTGAGATATGTACGAGTGACCATCATGCATGTTAGGACAGTAGGCGTGACAAGGCTCTTAGGGAAATCAGGGAGGAGGGGAGGGGAGGGGTGGGTGAGCATTTTGATGTGGTGTCATATCGCACACGAACGTTGTATTCGAAATTGTAGACGAAAAAGGTTTCATTGTCGCAAGAGTAGACAAAAAAGGTTTCATTGTGGCAAGACTGAATATTTGAAGGTGTATATGTACGCAAGAAGGCAGTGTGGTATAGTAGCAGCCTCTATCGCCGCCGTGGATGACATATGATGTAGCACCTCCTTATCCCCCGCCATCGCCCCCAATTTGGCGTCCTTTTTCCGTCCACAACCTCTGAAAAGCGGGCGGGGAGCTCAGCCAAACAACACGACCACCGAGTTACCTGGTTTATGTCTGACGATTTCGCATTCCCCTCCCGTCTCTCACCCATGATGCATGTTGTGCGGTGTTCCGTTTTTCGCGGTTTCGAAACGAACTGGAACGATATGTACGATGCCGCGAATATGGAACGACGTGGCAGGTTTGCATGGTGTGCTTCGACGGTTCGACGGACGAGTCCGGCAACCTGACTATCGTCTACTGCGACGGGTGCGACATGTCGGTGCACACGGACTGCTACGGCATCCAAGACCCCAAGGCCGACTTCGTCTGCGATCGCTGCACGAGGCTGAGAGAGCTGGAGGCCGAGTCGTGAGTAATAGCGTTAGATGGGAGGACAGGATTTAGTTTTTCCAATTATTGGATCTCGGCCCTTGGGGTGTTTGTTCTTGGCGTGCTGTTCGGTGATGAGCAGTAGGCGGTGAGCAGCGCCTTGTGGCTGGGGCTGCGGCGGCGTGGTGGTTAACGTTGTTGAGGTCACGTGACCGGACTTGGCCGCTTTCCGGGTAATCTATCTCGTATGTATATACGTCTGTCCGGGATTTTCAACAACTTTGAACAGCCAGAAACGAAAAAGCCATCCCAAGCTCAGGGGTGAATCAGGCGCTGAAACGGCGGCTTCGGTTCGTTCGTGTCCCTCTTTTTTCGAGCATTTCCTATGTACGTGCGTGCTCAAGCGGTTGGTTCGCCTGTCGGTCGGGTGCGCGCTTGTGAAAATGCAGGAAGCAGACAACGGGGGATGAGGTTAACTGCTTCCTCTGCCCGAACATCCACGGGGCCTTGAAGAGAACGACGTGCGGCCGGTTCGCGCACATGACGTGCCTGCTCATGTCGCCGGGGGTGCGGATGGGGGACCTCAAGCACAAGAGACGGATCGATATCTCGGAGGTGATGATGGTGATGGTGATAAAAAACTTGCCCACCTGCTGCTGTTGCTGTTGCTTTTCTTCTGTGGTGTTGTTCGTTGCGGTGGTGCTGGGGGCTGTTTTTTCCTTCGTTGTTGTGTGTAGAGAGGACACCGGAATTGGTGTTTGATTTGTCTCGGGTCGCGGGCGGGGGTGTTGGTGCCTTGGTGTTGTTGCTGCTGCTGCTGCTGTTGGTGGTGATGTTGTTTCCGCGAGTTTCGTCTTGTGCCGTGCGAACCTGGGGTCCGACCTTGTGTGACGTTTTTTATTGCCGGATGACGAAGTTGTTTTTGGTATATGCTCGAGTCTTGGTTCAATCTGTCTCTCCCTCGTGCTACCACGGCCTTCACACCTTGGGTCAACCAAACCAAACTCCCTCCACCCCTTCCGGAAAACTAGGTGCACACGGACGTGGCGGTTTTGCCGGACCTGCTGCCGTTCAACCGCACGGTCTTGGAAGCGCAGCAAGCTGCCGCGAAGCAGCTCTTCCTCCCAGCGGCGGAAGCAGCAACTACGCCATCGGCCGGAGCCGGAGCCGGAAGAGCGGAAGAAGGCGCTAT